TATTTTTATACGATTCTATTACAGCAGTTTTATCACCAATTACGCACCAACTTTCCCCTATTTAAGTTAATTCCCTAGCCCACCTGATTATACCTTTTGGCTCGCAGGAAATGCCATTGTTATTTTACAACCTTTTGACTTATAAGATGTAGATTAGGAGTAAGAGAGTTGCCAAAAAAAAAAAAAAGAATTAGTAAAGGGCCAACTTTCATTTTCTTAGTAGTTTCATAACCATTCGGATTTTTTTTTGAATGTTTATATATAGTAATAAATTTAGGGAAAAATATAAAAAATAATTTCATCATATTTATTTTTTCATTTATATTTCTTTCTTTACATAATTTTAATTACATGAAATACACATAAGAAATGATGATATAATTTTAACCAATGAGAATTGGATCTATGAGTAGGGATTAATTCCATACAATATGGCAAATCAATATTAAATTAAATTTTTTATTAAAAGAGATGTTCACAGTTAATAAACGAACATATTTTAAAAAAGATGTGAGAATATTTATGAGTAATAACAAAAAAAAAAATTAAGTGACGGATCAAACGCTGCCGAATTGATGAGTATGAAACGTTATGATTTGAAAGTCTGAACGGTGACTCAGGCTGAAGGAAAAACCGAAAGTCTGAGCAGCGATTCACAATATCCAGAAGACAATCTGACTACAAGGTTTATAATTCGAGTACCGAACCACAAATAATTCCTGGTCTTCTCCACACACACATATATAATCATGCCCATTTCTTGCTATTTTCATCCCTCTTGAACGGTCTTCTAATCTTAGAAGATTGATATGGCTGTTGCTTCAACCCTATACGTTCTTCTTATCTTACCTCTGTCTTTTCAATCTTCATCTTCATCATCACCAATCAAGAGTGACTTTTCTCTCACAGTGGAGAAAAAAGATGTTATAATCTCACCAAACGGTGTCTTCTCTGCTGGCTTCTATGCCGTCGGTAAAAATGCCTTTGTCTTCGCCATTTGGTTCACCCAAAAACGCACCGTCGTTTGGATGGCAAACCGTGACCGACCTGTCAAAGGTAAACGGTCGTCACTTTCCCTCCTCAAAACCGGGAACCTTGTCCTCTCTGATGCCGCCCAATTCAACATCTGGTCGACTGACACCTTCTCGTCTTCAACGACACAATTGTTTCTAAATGACAGTGGAAATCTTGCACTCTCCGAGCTCCATTCACAAGGAAGCAATATTATTATTCTATGGCAGAGCTTCGATTTCCCGACTGACACTCTACTTCCTGGACAACAACTCAAGAGATTTACAAAGCTTGTCTCCACCCGAAGCGAAACCAACCATTCCTCTGGCTTTTACAAGCTTTTGTTCGCTGATGACAACATTCTCAGCCTTTTGTATGACGGTCCTGATGTCTCTAGCAAATACTGGCCTATTCCATGGCGTTTGAGTTGGGAAGCTGGAAGGTTCAGCTTCAATAGAGGGGGAATATCGCAGTGTTAGATTCTCTTGGACAATTCAAGTCAACAGACAACTATGAATTCACAACTTCTGATTATGGGGCTACGATACTAAGAAGATTGAAAATAGATCCTGATGGCAACCTTCGAGTTTATAGCCTTGAGAGTAATCACCAATGGGACGTGTCATGGCAAGCCCTGTCTGATGGTTGTATTGTGCATGGACTTTGCGGGGAGAACAGCACATGCAAGCATGATCCTAGAGAAGGAAGAAAGTGCTCGTGTCTTCCTGGATAGAGAGTTAAGAACTATAGCGATTGGTCTTATGGTTGTGAACCTAAATTTCAACTCTCATGTGCTCTAAATGACTCTACTTTCTTCCCATTGCTGGTATTGAGCTATACGGGTGTGACTATAATTATCACGAAAACATTACCTATAAGGAGTGTATGGATTTATGCTTACAAGATTGCACGTGCAAGGCGTTTCAGTACTCATCATTTAAAAAAGGTGGCTTACCTGAATGCCATCCAAAAAGACATCTGCTCCATGGTCATCACTCACCAAGCTTCAGTGGAATCACCGACTTGAGATGCCTAAAACGAAGGGAAAAAATGTTTCTTCTTTGGAGAAGAAGAGTCTGTGCAAGAAAATGATCAAATTTGTGAGGTAAAGCTCGAAAGAGCCTATTTCAAGAGGCACATCAGCAGTTATGTGAGGTTCTTCCTTTGGTTTTCTGTCGCAATTGGGGCGTTTGAAGTCCTCCTTATTTCTATAGTTTAGTTTTCTTTGATTGGAACCAAACAAAACTCTAATTCGAATCAACAAGGCTACAATAACTTTCGGTCTCTTTTTGGGTTCAGAAAATTTACTTACTCTGAGCTTAAACAAGCAACGAAAGGTTTCAGAGGAGAAATTGGAAGAGGCTCAGGTGGTACAGTGTACAAAGGAGTGTTGCCAGATCAGCGAATCGCCGCAATAAAGAAGTTGAAGAATGACAGCACTGAAGCCAAACGAGAAGAAGCTGAATTTCTAGGTGAATTAAGCATAATTGGGAGGCTTAACCACATGAACTTGATCGAAATGCGGGGCTATTGTGCTGAGGGAAAGCATAGGCTATTGGTGTACGAGTACATGGAAAATGGTTCTTTAGCAGAAAATCTCAAATCAAACACTCTAGATTGGGCCAAAAGATACCACATTGCTCTTGGAACAGCAAGGTTTCTGGCCTGCTTACATTAAGAATGCTTGGAGTGGATTCTGCACTGTGACATAAAGCCACAGAATATTCTTCTGGACTCAAATTACCAACCCAAGGTAGCAGATTTTGGCTTATCTAAGCTTCTAAATCGAAGTGACCAAAACACTCAAAGCTTCTCCGTGATAAGAGGAACAAGAGGATATATGGCTCCTGAGTGGGTATTCAATCTGCCAATAACGTCAAAGGTGGATGTTTACAGCTATGGGATTGCTGTGTTAGAGATGATAACTGGAAAGAGTCCGATGATGAAGATGGGAATTCAGAGTGATGAAGGAGAAGAGCCACAGAATGGGAGGCTTGTGACGTGGTGAGAGAGAAGAAAATGAAAGCGTTGGAGATTGAAGGATCCTCGTCTTCGTGGTGTTGGGTGGACAGATCATAGATCCTGCCATTGGAGAGGGTGAGAAGCAAAAGATGGAGACTTTGGCAAATGTGGTTTTAAAGTGCGTCGAAGAAGACAAAAAATGCTAGGCCCACTATGAACCAAGTTGTTGAGATGCTTCAAAGCCATGAAGATGATGCTTGTTAATTAGTCATTCTCGAGAGCCCAAAAAATTACTTGCAGTCTCCTCTGTTTTTTTTTTTGACCTGGACTTGCAGCCCCTTCGATGGTGGCGTTTGGAGAATTATGCTCAACAACCAAAAATAGCGAGCTCAAATAGTCACCCTCGCTAAACTTAATTTCCATTGGTCAAGTGATTTGTACTTTATTTGGTTGTTATATCCAGAAAATTTAAGTTTAATTTACACATATGGGTTTACTATATATTAAGAAAAATGAAATCCCATAGTCATATATAGAAAATTTTCATAGTATTGAATTTTTATGTGCAATTATCGAACTCCTGTTATAAATATTACATTATGTGGATGTTTATAAATTTTCTCAACTCTTGGAATTCTATATCCCACACTACATAACTTCTCTAATGGATAGTTTTGGTTAAAAGTTTTTTTTCTCATTTTTAACACCCATAAACTCAAAAATTATATATTGTATCTTAATATAAATTAATCTTGTCTAGAGTTGGAGCTTATAAATAGAATCTATGTACCATATATTTGATCAAGATAGCCATGGGAATGAATGTTATTCTTCCTTTCTCTCTAATTCTCTTTGGTCTTATTTATTTTTCCATCACATTCTCTTATATTCTTCTTATTTTCATAACAACTCCCTTTTTTTATAAATACTAAATAACATAAACTATTTACCTCTTGAGGAATGTGCCTCTTTTCCTCCTTTGTATTTATTTTCTTCTTATTTCCTCTTCCTACTATAAAAATAGGAAAAAGATATATTATTATTCTTCCTATTTTCTCCTCTAATCAATTTTCTCTTTCACTTACTTTTCTTTTCGATGCACACACACGGTGTTGATGTTATATATATTTTCTCTAAATGAAATATTACTAACCATATATTTTCATATTAGGGACATTGTTGTCTAATTAAATACTAAAGTTTATCTAAGGATTTTTTATGACGAGGATTTCCGTGACATAAGATAAGAAAGGAATTTCTTCGAAGTCAATAGGAAGGTACTGATCATAATTCTGCTAAATAATATTTTCACAAACTCTTCCTTTATTCGTTATTTCTTTTTTCCCCTCCCATTCATTTCTCTCCCAACGTACTGCTCACGTTCTAAGAAAAATCAAACTGAAAGACGTAAAGTAGAAGGCAGAGAGTTTGAATTCAGAAAAATAAGATCCACAAGATAATTCAATAACTTTTAAACATTTAAAAACTTGTTATATATACTTCTAGTTGCATGTAGAATTTTTGGCCAAGTTAAATAGTAGATACAAAAATAATGAGAAAATATCCAAGGGACATGCAGTACGTAAGTAGAATAAAACGAAGAAAATATAAATGCGATTATATAAATAAGAAAATGCCCTTTGTAACTTCAAAAAAAAAATACATAAAAATGTGATTTTTTTTTTGAACAAATGAATATATGAATTTTTATGTATGGAAAATTAGAAGGAGAAATACTGTATCAAAGGCGGCCTGACTTGCGAGTTGACGGTGTTGCAATACTCGAGAGGACGTGAAGTCCCAAACCTGCCAGCTGAGAAATAACCACGTCCAAGAGGCACGAGGAACGTTAAAGAAAAACTTATTATTTTCGAAATAATAATAATAACAATAATAAAGCCAGGGAAAATTGACTGTAAGAACAAAAAAAAAAATATTTTGGTGTAAGTCCCAAATGAATAAATAAACTTGCAAGGGACCGTGATTTTTGAAGACAATACTTTTTTAGTCAAACTATCAAAATACTCTTTATTTTTCTGTACTCATCTCCGGAATATTGATTATTGAAGATTCATGGCTTCAAGAGATCACAGAAAAATGAAGGATCTTTTGTTATTTTTTCTGAAAATATATTAGGGTTTCATGGTCCGGTTCTGCTGCGAATTGTATTTTTGCATTCAAGGATTATTCCCAAATATTTTGGTCTTTTGGTCCTAGTGGCCAATTTTCCCAAAAAGCTACCCGAAAAGGGGTCAAATATTCAGAAGCTGTGACTTGGAAGTCTATCATGGAAGACTAAACCACGAACAATTCCCCTTCTTCTCCATATACAATCAAAGCCCATCCCATTGCATGTATCGTCGCTGTTCAACTATTACACATTGATATGGCTCTTTCGTTAATCCTCCACGTTCTTCTTCTCTTGTCTCTCTCTTTCCAATTTTCATCTTCATCATCGTCCTCGCTTAACAGTGGCTTCTCTCTCTGTGTGGAGAAACTAGAAGATTCTATTCTCTCACCGGACGGTGTCTTCTCTGCTGGCTTCTATGCTGTCGGTGAAAACGCCTATGCCTTCGCTGTCTGGTTCACCCGAAACCCCACCGTGGTTTGGATGGCAAATCGTGACCAACCTATCAACGGAAAACGGTCATCACTTTCCCTCCTCAAAACCGGAAACCTTGTCCTCTCCGACGCCGGACAATTCAACGCGTGGTCGACCGACACAACCTCGTCTTCTCCGACATACTTGATTCTCAACAACAATGGAAATCTAGTGCTCTCTGAACTCTACTCAAATGAAAGCAATGTTCTGTGGCAGAGTTTCGATTTCCCAACAGACACTCTACTTCCTGGACAACAACTCACAAGATACACAAAGCTTGTCTCCGACAGAAGCAGCACCAACCATTCAAGTGGCTTTTACAAGCTTGTCTTCGATGATGACAACATTCTTAGCCTTTTATACGACGGCCCGGATGTCTCAAGCATATACTGGCCAGCACAATGGCTTCTGAGTTGGGAAGCAGGAAGGACCACCTATAACAGTAGTAGAATCGCAGTGATAGATTCTATCGGAACTTTCAACTCAACAGATAATTTCGGATTCATAACTTCGGATTATGGGGTTGTGATGCAAAGAAGATTGAAGATGGATCCTGATGGTAACATTCGCGTGTACAGCCGACAACATCAGAATGATCCATGGTATGTGTCGTGGCAAGCCATATCTAGTCCTTGTATTGTGCATGGACTTTGTGGTGCTAACAGCACGTGCACGCACGATCCAAGGGAAGGAAGAAAGTGCTCATGTCTTCCGGGATATAGAGTGAAGAACCATAGCGATTGGTCTTATGGGTGTGAACCTAGATTTCAGCTCTCATGCGATAGAAATGAGTCCACCTTCTTCAAATTGCCTGATGTTGAGCTATATGGGTATGACTATATTTATAAGAAAAATATCAGTTTTAGTGATTGTGAGAATGAATGCTCACAAGACTGTGAGTGCAGGGCATTTCAGTACTCTTTTAACAATGATGGCTTATTTCAATGCTATACGAAAAAAGTTCTGCTCAATGGTCGTCGATCACCAAACTTCAGAGGAACAACCTACTTGAGACTGCCTAAAACCAGAAGAAATAATGGTTCGTTCTTTGCGGATGAAGAATCTGCTCAAGAAAATGGTCGTGTCTGTTCAGTAAAGCTGGAAAGAGCCTATACCAAGAGACATGTCAGCAGTTTTGTGAAGTTCTTTCTTTGGTTTTCCATTGCACTTGGGGTGTTTGAAGCCCTCTTCATCTCTATAACTTCGTGCTCTTTGATGAGAACCAAACAAAAATCAGATGTCAATCAACAAGGGTACAATTTTCTCTCTCCTTTTGGGTTCAGAAAATATACTTACTCTGAACTAAAACAAGCAACGAAAGGATTCACAGAAGAAATCGGAAGAGGAGCAGGTGGAATAGTGTACAAAGGAGTATTGCCTGATCAGCGAATCGCTGCAATAAAGAAGCTGAATAATGACAACATTGGAGCCAAACGAGATGAAGCTGAATTTCTAGCAGAAGTGAGCATAATCGGTAAGCTTAATCACATGAACCTGATTGAAATGTGGGGGTATTGTGCTGAGGGAAAGCATAGACTATTGGTGTATGAGTTCATGGAAAATGGTTCTTTAGCAGAAAATCTCAAATCAAACACTCTGGGTTGGACCAAAAGATACAATATCGCTCTGGGAACAGCAAGAGTACTAGCATACCTACACGAAGAATGCTTGGAGTGGATTCTGCATTGTGACATAAAGCCTCAGAATATCCTTCTAGTTTCAAACTATCAACCCAAGGTAGCAGATTTTGGATTATCTAAGCTTCTGAATCGAAATGAACAGAACGCTCAAAGCATCTCAATGATAAGAGGAACGAGAGGTTACATGGCACCGGAATGGGTTTTCAATCTGCCAATAACGTCAAAGGTGGATGTTTACAGCTATGGAATTGTTGTGTTGGAGATGTTAACAGGAAGGAGTGCGACAACGATGGGAAGTCGGAGTGATGAAGGAGAAGAGGCACAGAATGGGAGGCTTGTGACGTGGGTGAGAGAGAAGAGGAAGAGAACGACGTCGTTGGAGGAAGGGTCGTCGTTGACATCGTCGTGTTGGGTGGAGAAAATAATTGATCCAGCCATTGGATCACAGTTTGAGGTTAAGAAGATGAAGATGGAAACTCTGGCAAGTGTGGCTTTGAATTGCGTGGAGGATGACAAAGATGCGAGGCCCACCATGAGCCAAGTTGTTGAGATGCTTCAGTGCCATGAAAATGATGCTTCTTAGTCATGCGCATGACGGCTTAAAAATGTCCATATATGCAGTTTCGTTGATGGTATCATCAATTGTTTCTTGTGGTATTATCAATCTCCATATGTCTAGGTCTGAGATTTGGCTTCTGCTGTAATAATACTATAGAATTACCTTCTTTCTTTCTTTTCGTGTCTGAGAGAGGAAATCCCCCTGGGGTGTTACGTTAATTATCTTTTTTTCTCCCTTGTCTTTCCTTGTTTTTGACTCTTGTATATCTCAAATATGAATAATGTTTATCTTTAATTTGAATCCAGTAAAATAAACTTAGAGCTTTATTTTGTTTGTAAATTTATCAATTTTCTTTTTTTAAAAAAAAAGTTTTCTCACATTCTCACCGTTGCTGCCCTTGTCAAGGAAAATATTTTTTTTTTTTGGTTATATACTTACATAATTAAAGGAAAATATTGCCCGTATCCAAATGATCCTTTACTCTTGCTATCTAGTGCAATTTATCTCTATCTTGCCTCTCAAAGAAATTTGGATCTTCTGTGTTTTTTTTTTTGGCGCAATGCTTCATGTAGAACATATTAATAACAAAATAAATATATTATACTTCATTTGTTAAAAAATATAAGATATTTTTTAAGAAATTAAATATTAAAAAATGTAAGATATTTTTAACCTTTCGAGGTGTAATCATTTGTCTTTTTTTTTAAAAGTGCCCCTATTGATAATGACTTTATATTTATTGTAGGATATTTAATAGGAGTAAATATAAAAAGATAAGGTTAGTTTAAAAGTGACACTACTATAAAATAAGTTTATGGGAGTGTTTTTTTTTTTTTTATCTTAGGGAGCGCTTCAAAGGCGCTCCCATATTGAGCGCTCCAAAATGTATAGGAGCGCTTTTCAAAAAGCACTCCCATATATAAGGGCCAAAAATGGTTGGCTGAGGCACATATGGGAGCGCTCACTAGAAGAGCGCTCCCATATATCAGCATACAGGAGCATTCATCTGATGTGAGCTCCTGTAGAGTGACATATGTAGAGTGCTCTTGTAGATTTTTTTTTAAATAGATTTTTTAAAATTTCTCCTTTTATATCTCTTTAACAATGACTAATCACAATATCAAAAACTAATTCAGAAATAATATCAACATAAAAATTTATATACAAAGAAAAAACTTGAAATTGATACAACAATTTCAATTTCCTAACTAATTAGTTTAATTTCTAACAAGCTTAGCAAATGAAACTATTTTTATTTTTTTAACATTGAAATCTAACTTCCTATCACAAACAGCCAATAATATATTCTAACCACTCTTCAACTAAATCTTCTATTTGTTCAAAGTAAAATGCAAAGATCTTACTCCAATAAAATACTACACAAGATATGAAAGCAATATATAAGTAATTAACATTATATTAACTTAATTTCAAAGCTTTTGACTTACATTTTTAGAAATGATCAACTCTTGTTGTGTGATTACTTCTCTCATAAGCTCATAACATAGTATCTACACTCCCAACCTTATAATTGTATAGGTACCTATAAAACAATGAAAGATGTCATTATCAAAATATGGTAGAAATAAATTTTAACTTAATTTAAAATACTTCAGGGATAAAGGCATATATATGATACAAGTATTTACTGTCGAAAATCCAGCAAACTCTCCCCTATAACTTGAAAGTTCCATAATTTTTTAAAAATTTTACATCAATCCAGAACAAAATATTCAAAATAACGAACATAAAATATCAATCAAACAATCATTTAGATACATACCAACTTATTTTATTAAAAAAATAATGCAAACCTTTATTCTTTTCATGAATAAAACTCAACAAGATTAGGTCTTTCGGTGTTTGGAGGGAGACCTTCACCACCTCGATAATGTGCTAGAGCCCTATTATATAATGATTAAGCATACTAAGTAAAAACTAATTATTATAATAAACATATATAAATAATATAGAACTAAAAACTTATTGATTAAATAATATCCTCATAGATTTGTAGTTCTTAAAGTCATTATCTCTTAATAAGTCAAGATGATAAATCACAGGGATAAATGCATTGATACAAACAAGCACCTAATATTGCCTAAAAAAATAAAATATTTCATTAAAATATCAACTAAATTTAAAAATAAACAACAATAACAATTTACCGTGGATTGTAAAGAGCTAAAAATAGCATGTTTCTTTTGCCTTTAGCTTTGAATGAATCAGTAATCTTTTGAAAATGGTACTCAACACTGTAGGTACTAGTGTTGTGAGGGTTAATAAATGAAAATTTTGTTATCAATGAGCCCAGCACCACAAAAGTATGATATAAGTACCTAAAATGAAAACAAATAGAATCATTCACAACTAAAATTAAATAAATACCACAATAAACAATAAAATTTAGAAAGTACCTGATGTATAAACTAATTGTGTGGTTTGTAGCTAATCCTTAGTTAGAATCTCATTAATATTTTCAACCGCTAATTTTTCGCTAATCATTTCACCATAAATCTCCTTTTCAAATTCTACTTCACAAATCTTATTTTTAAATGTTGTTCGCATAATTACTTCAAGTGCATTTTGGTGAGGATATTTTAACTAAGTAGATTTTGTTTGGTCATTCCTGCTTTAGTCACAGAAGTAGATCCTTTTGATGGCTTTTCTTTCACTTTGATTGGCGTTTTTGCAACTTCTTTAGATAATACCAATTTTTATGTACTAGATTTGACTTGAATAAAACCCAATTCATAATTCAAAAGCCATTTTTATTGTCAACCCACATGTAACAAAAGACAGGTTCACGAAACTTGATATAATTCAATTCCTAAATGTGCTCTATAATCCTGAAATATGACATCATTGCATAGATTGGGTTCTTGTTTTTAAAACTAGAGACATGCATTGATTGAGTTACAAGTGTTACACTACTATTTTACATAGTTCTCTGAGCATATTGGCTTTTCATATAAAATGTAAAGTCATTGATTACATAATTTGTATAAGAAAATACTTCAAATTTGAGACCCCTGGCCAAAAACCTCAACCTTTCTAATGAGTAGGACACCTCAAAGATGCGAGCTCTAAACCAATATATAAATTGCTAGTTGTAATATGTTGCTAGCCAAGTTTCATTCTTACCTTTATTCTAACTCTTAACTATTGCCTTATGTTCGTTGACATATGATTGAACTTCCTCAGTGTTGTGTAAAATATATAAATAAACTTGCTCCCATTGTATCTTATCTATGCTAATGAGTTTCTTCCCAATGATTCCACCCTGTTCACCTCTGGTGTCCTTTGTGTACTTTGGCAACCTAATGGCATCCGCTTTAGAGAGATATCTAATGCATAATTCAATTGCTTCTTCCACGATGGACCTCTCAACAATACACACTTCGGGCTAACTTTGATTTTTTTCATATCCTTTTAATACTTTCAAGTAATGCTCTACTGGGTACATCTATCTCAAATAAGCGAGGCCACACAACTTTATCTCTTTAACTAAGTGAAATGATAAATGAAACATGATGTCAAAGAACAAAGGTGGAAAATACATTTTGAGCCCGCTTAAAATCTTAGCTATTTCATGTTCTAACTTTGGTAATTTCTCTGAGTCAATCACCTTACTACAAATTGCCTTAAAGAAGAAACAAGATCTAGTAATCGTGGCTCACACCTTCTTTGGTAAAATGGATCATATACCTATCAGCAACAAATTTTCCATGATGATATAACAATCATGAGTCTTGAGACCTACTAGTTTGAGGTCTTTCATAGATATGAGACTACTTACATTTAAAGAATATCCTTCTGGCATTTTAACTTCATGCAAGGATTCACAGAAAGTTAATTTTTCTTTTTTAGACAAGGTGTGAGTTGCTGGAGGTAAAAAAGTACATTTTTCCTTCCTCTCTAGTGCCAACTCTTCTCTTGACCCTATGCTAATCAAATCCATCCTTGCATTAATACTGTCCTTATTCTTTCTTGAAATGTGGAGTAATGTGCTAACAAGATTGTCGCAGACATTCTTTTTGATGTGCATTGCGTCCAAGAAATGCCTAACATCTAAGGTCTTCCAGTATGGTAGCTCAAAGAATATGGACTTCTTTTTCCAACCATTCTTAACAATCTTACTTATAAATGGTTTTTCAAGTTCAATATTTAAATCTTTAACTTTTTTAAAGAGCTACTCACCGGTTAATGGCATGAGAACTCTACCCTTCTCCGGGTAGCCATTGAAGGCCTTCTTCGATAATTATGTGTTTGCAGTAAAATCACTGATGACCAATGAAGACCTTCTTGCTATAATGTTCTAATTGCACTGAACAAGTGGACTCCTCACAAACTGGACATGCATCTTGTCCTTTAATACTGTACCTTGATAACTTGCCATAGGCAGGAAAGCCATTTATGGTGCCAAATAATATTGCTCGCAAGATGAAATGTTCTTCTCTATACCCATCATAAACTTCCATACCTATCTCCCATAAAATCTTCAGATCTTCAATCAAAAGAGCTAAGTACACATTTATATCATTTCTTGGTTGTTGAGGCTCAAAAATTAACAATGACAGTATCATAAAATTGTGCTTCATGCACAATGCTGGAGCAAAGTTGTAGATCATCAAAATAATTGGCCATGTACTATAATCATTACTTTGCATGCCATGTAGATTCATTCCGTTAATGGCTAGTGCAAGGAGTAGGTTTCTATCTTCAACCTTAAACTCAGGGTACATAAGATCAAACTTTTTCTATTGAGGAGAATCTATAGGGTGTCGTAGCTTGCCATCCTTAATTCTCTCGTCAGCATGCCATATTAAGTGTTTAGCATCTTTTGTAATGTTATATAGGCGTCTAAATATTGGTATGATAGAAAAATACTGTAATGCCTTCGCCGAGCTACATCTATTTTTCTAATAACATGATGCATCGCATTTTGGACACTTATCTAAGATTGAATTCTCTTTCTAAAAGAGGACACATTCATTTGGATATGCATGTATCTTCTCATAGCTCATCCCAATAGAACAGAGCACTTTTTTAGCCTCATACGTATTAGGTAGAACCTCATTGTACTCAAGTAATATCTCCTATAAGAGTTCAAGTAAATATATGAAACTTTTATCGCTCTATCCATTCGCTACTTTTAAGTTGTATAATTTCAAAATAAATGATAGTTTTGTGAATTTTTTACAATTGGGGTATAATGGTTTATCAGCATTACTCTTCAACCTTTCAAACATCTCAAGACAGTCCCTCAGATCCTCTTCAATCATATCAATCATTTCATCAAGACGGTTAACATCATGTGTCCCACCATCACGATCAAA